GAGTTCTCTACAAATCATTAACTCCATAATATTTGCTTCAGTATTCCCAGATCTGCATGAATTGGGAATATCAAAGTTTCTACAAGAATCTACCCTTACCGAGTTCACGTATGACTTGTGCTCAGAAACTTCATCTCAGCTGAATGGAGCTGTCTCCATTTCAATGGCTTTTTCATAGCTTTTAGAAAGACTAAGAAAAAGTTATTAGTCTATCAAATTCTAACCTCTTAGTTGACGAAAACTAAATGCTTCTGTCTTTCTTTACAGAATCCTTCCTTCAGATTACCCTTGAAACCACAAGTGGAAAAGGTCTATTCACTCACTTAGCCATCTCCCTGCCAACACAGGATACAAAAAGACAATGCTGTGCAATCATGACAATTATCTACAAGCACACGCAGGAAACACGGTTTTCCATATCTTCATGTGTTCTTCCTTACTTTTTTGTCTACTTTGAGTAGGTCGATCACACCTCGTGCTTGCTTATCCATGTCTTTCAAAGCAGACCACGTGGCTGCAAGGCTGCTAAGGTCTCCAGACATCCCATAACCTGGAGAAAAAAAAAAAGCCCAAATCACACAGGTAGGAAAACTCAGATCATGGCTAATGCGCTGCAGCCTTGCTCTTCAGAGCCAAGATGCTGACAACATACACATAAACATTGGTGGAAAGACTGTTCAGGTCGGGAACAAGGCAGGCTCCTGTCTCTCCTGCTCCTAAGAGATACTCTTGCAGATCAAGTTTGGGAGAGAAGAGGTGAAAAATGTTGAGTTTAAGCTCAACTTACTTAAAATCTGCTAGGTCAGTAAAAGGCAATTACGAATTTGCCCCTGAACTCCCAGCAGCTCTAGGACAGGGCCAGCAAATCCAGAAAGCTCTGCAGGACAGACTTCCATAGACCACTCAAGGCTGGGTGCAAGTTGGGGTTTGGTATGGAGCTAAGACAATCTCAAGTCCGAGGTGGGGAGGCTAAATCAGAAATCTTGGGTCTGGCCTGAAATGGGGAGACATTTCTATCATTCCCAGTTACACTGGTCACCCTGCTTCCTGGCATGGTGGTATTTGAGTACTCAGGACAACAAAAGACGGTTCCATGATAAGTGGATTGAGAGAATGACAACCCCAAGGGCACCCAGGCATTACACAAAATAAACCGTGTAAAGACCCAACGCAGGGGAGAAGCGTCACGTGTTACCCAGCTTAGTGATGGCTGCATCCGAATAGAGCATCTGGATGAAATGGGGAAGCTTCTCCTTCTCAGCCTCCGTCTCGGCTTGCTCGAGCAGCCGTGGCAAGTCAAGCAGGAACACCTCATCCTGCAGGGCGATTTGAAGGAGGGAGACACGGGGCTTCCCGACCATGCCGAACGAAGGCCGCCACTCCATGTCAATGCCAACAACCTGTCCCGGCTGCAACACAGACAAAAGCTTCTTCACTTAGAGACTGTCTACACTTGAAAGCAGCCTGGACAGTCCCTGCTGTTTCCTTTCCATCTCTTTGCTACTATGCAAAACTTTCACAGCACACCTGAGTCGCTCCTGCAGGGACCCTTCCTTGCACAGCAATTCCCAACACGCTCCCCAATCAGCCAAGCCTAAAGGAAGCAGCTGTCCTTGACGTGGGGAGGGAGTCACCTGATGGCAGTGGCCCACATAGAATGGCCCCTGTGTGCCAGCCTGCTATGAAGCTTCTGCTCCTCAGCCCTGCAAACTAAATACCAGAGTAACACTCACCTGCAGCACCTTTTCCCAGCACTGCAGTGTCTCTTCCCATGTCTGCAGGAAGTGAATATTTGCCCGTGGAATAGGAAGCTGGTAATAGTCCTTCTTACTCTCTTCATAATCGTCTGCTTTCACCGCCTCTTCTACCCTGCACAGACCCAGATGCAACAGCTTTAAGTTATGCAATGAGAGGAAATCCTGGACTAGAGGAACATCGGGAAGTCTGAAGCCCCTTATTTCACCCTGGCCCTCTGTGTCCCCATGCTGCTCAACTCTTTCTCTTACCCTCTCTTTCCTCACTTTCCCTGTAACCTCAGTCTCTTCCATCTTGACTCATCCTGAGGAAAAAGACTTGGGAGTGCTGGTGGGTGAGAAGCTCAACATGAGCCGGCACCGTGCGCTGGCAGTCCAGAAAGCCAACCGTGTCCTGGGCTGCATCCAGAGCAGCGTGGGCAGCAGGGCGAGGGAGGGGATTCTGCCCCTCTACTCTGCCCTCATAAGACCCCACCTGGAATACTGCGTTCAGCTCTGGAGTCCCCAACACAAGAAGGACATGGAGCTGTTGGAACGGGTCCAGAGGAGGCCACGGAGATGATGCGAGGGCTGGAGCATCTCTGCTATGGAGACAGGCTGAGAGAGTTGGGGCTGCTCAGCCTGGAGAAGAGAAGGCTCCAGGGTGACCTTATAGCAGCTTTCTAGTACCTAAAGGGGGCCTACAGGAAAGCTGGAGAGGGGCTTTTTTACACGGGCGTGTAGTGACAGGACAAGGGGCAATGGCTTTAAACTGAAAGAGGGGAGATTTAGATTAGATATAAGTAAGAAGTTCTTCACTCTGAGGGTGGTGAGACACTGGAACAGGTTGCCCAGACAAGTTGTGGCTGCCCCATCCCTGGAAGTGTTCCAGGCCAGGCTGGATGAGGCTTTGGGCAACCTGGTGTAGTGGAAGGTGTCCCTGCCCATGGCAGGGGGGTTGGAACGAGATGATCTTTGAGGTCCCTTCCAACCCAAACCATTCTGTGATTCTACGATCCTCTCTTTTTATTCCTATCACAGAAACGACACTGTATCGAGACCTCACCACACACACGCACTGTCCTCCCTGCAGAGAACACCCAAACCAAAACACTTGCTGTAGCTGAAGTCCCAAGCCCTGTCCTCAACGCTCAGCTCTCTTTCCCAGAACTGATGCAACTTGGATGACAAAGTTGGGCAGCTGTTTCCACATTCAGAGATAACGCATCGTAGATTTACTGCTTTTTGCCCCCGAGGTTAACATGGAAGTCTGTTAGCTCCCACGGTGCAATACTTAACAGAGGAGTCAGCTCTGACCAGCACTGCGTCCAAACAGGAGCTTCACACTCCCCCACAGCATAAACTGGCTCCAAATGAGACTCTTGGGCTGCTCCACGCTAACATCACTACGGGCTGGGAATGGGTGAGTCTGTCTCATGATTTCATAGTGCAATGGCTTAGGAAGGCTTCATGGACCTCCCTGTGGCTATCCAGCTTCTTCTCCATCCTCTTCCCTGTAAAACGTCCACATAGGTTGCATAGGGAAGAAATGAGAAAAGTTCAGACATAAAGCTTCAAAATCTCCTACGTTTAGGGGACAACAGCCAGCTGAACTCACAAACTGAGTGCCTTGCCTGTGCTGCTCCCCCTGGTTGGGTTCCAGATGGCACCACACAGAGAAATTCAGTATCTGCATATTAATACCCTGGGAATGCTGGAAGATGCCTGCAGAAATGAGCTAACTGATTTCCTACAACAGGGTCTTACGCAGCACATTTTCTTTTCAAAGTGCAGCAGAGTGTCTCGAAATGGCCTTGTAACTGGAAGGTCAGCATACTGCTACGGTGTCTCAGCCAGATGATGCAATCAGAGGAAAAAAACTAGTAAAAAATATCCAGCTATTTTGGACATCTCACAAATTTCTGGATAGTCTCTTTCCCATAGAGACTTGAAATGGTTTATTATTTGAGAAAATATTTACTAACCTTATGTTTAGGGGACTGTGTGACTAATTCTGTAGCATAGCAGCTTTCCCTGTACAAACACTCTCTTCCGTGAGCCTGTGTGCATGAGGAAGTCAATATTTGTGTAAAATATTTAATGAAGGTGTGCAGTCTCAGGTCTCCAGGAATATTCTCACCTGCAGAGTTCAGGAGCTGCATGTGGTATGACCAGTGGCATAAATGATGTCATTTATATGCTGGTACCACCTTGTTCTCTACAGCGTGAACACCCTGGCTGGGAACCTGCTGCTTTGTTGGCTCAATAAATGAGGCAGACAGGCTGTTTTATTAGGTTCTGTGGCTCTGCTGACTTTATAGCAGCTCCTGCAGCAGGTATCACGACTGGATGAGTAAACTGGGGCCCAAAGAGCTTTACTCGCCTGTCACAACTCACAGCAGAGCGCATCCTAATGGGCATGTCTTCACTCCACCCGCACACGACACAGGATTCCCAGAGCAGAGAGATGTACTGATGGTTTTTATCTTTCCAGATGCGCAGAGTCCGTGGCTCCTGTTAGCCGCCCCTTTGTGTTTTGAGGGATCATACCTCATGGAAAAACCTTCTAGCTCCCAACTGGCAGCTGGTACAACTTCAGGAGGGAGGAGGAGGGCAGCTCCAGCAACACATCAGAGCTAAGCAGAAGCATGTCCTAGACAGACAAGAGTTCCCTGTGCTCCAAGAAAGCCATGTCCTGGCTGGAGAAGTGGGCCTTTGCAGACAGGGTGATCACATCTGTGTCATATTTCCTGAGGTTACAGGGAGCTTGAACATGAACCAGTGCAGATCTGCACTAGGAGAAAGATCAGACCCAGGGAGCTCAGCACATGAGCTGTCCAAGGCCATCTGTGAGACCCTCCCAGAATAATCAGCATTAAAAAATAATAATACACCGTGTTCTCCTTCGCCTTCTACATAATTCAAGTTAGTCCAATCTATGCTCCAAAAATACGATTTTTAGTTATGAAAGCTGCATTTTTTTCAGAAATACCTCTTCCAGGAGATGGAAATCTGCTGTAATGTTGAAGACAATAAAACTGATGATAAACCTGTTAGAGCAGGTAACCATGCTCAGTCCCAGGCTTGGTCATCTTAAACTAGCCTCCTTATCCCCTAGTGAGGGGTCAGCACTCACCAGGCAGCCAGTGACTGATCCTAACTGTCACCTGGAGTTCGCAATTCTGACACACGACACCAGCAGGGAAGTCCTGCACTAAGAACATCAGGTGAAAGGAAGCACCCAGATCATCTGCACATAACTGCACGTTCTGCAGTAAGAGGAGGAAGCCCCGGACCACGCGAGGCGGCAGGTGAGCACGGCCGTGCAGCTGCCATGCCAAGAGGGACTCTGCCCCTGCGCTCACGCCAAGAGCACGGCGCTGAAAGCATCCAACTTGCTACCCAGGGAGCAGTGATCATTCTGCTGGTTTTATTCCTCCCCAGACAGGCAATGTATGATGCCATCAACAACTCCTTCTGGACACACAGTCCCGTTCGAATCAAATTCAGATTTCCACCATACACACTGAGAAGTTCAGCTCCATACTGTCTCGTCTTAGAGGCTTCAAGGGCTACGTTTGAAGGATGCTAAGCTTGCACAGAGTTGGAAATAGTTACCTCCCAGGAGTGGTCAAGATTTTCCCACAAACTTTCCTCTAATCTCACCAGGCTTCTGAGCCAGAAACACCAATCCCCACGCTGAAACAGAACCCCAATGCGTTTCAGCAATGCGGGTAAGAGAGGGGCATCAGGCAAGTGGTGCCAAGCCCAGTCAAGCACAACACCCTGGAATAAGATGACTGACGTATACAACAACAAAAGAGTCCTAAGAAACTCCAAAATTATCACCGCTTCCTCTCTTCTGTTTTTGACAAAAGCCTTGACTCTACCTGGAAATCGGTGGTTGCTCCTCCAGTGACAGCAAGGCTGTGAGCTATGCTGCACCCCAACCACACAGCCCAGAGCTCTCCTGCGTTTGCATTGAGCATTCAGGGACGAGTCCTCTTCTGTGAGGAACCCAACTACAGGAATTCCTGCAGATGAGTAAGTGGAGAAAATGCTGCTTGATTGCAGCAGGCCAGCACGGTGACTGCGTAATGACTCTGACCCAGGGACCGTGGCAGCCTGCAGCCTGGCAGGAGCTGGGCTCACGAACACGTGTGGGCACAGAGGCTACCGGGCCGTGTGTTGATGGGACTGCCCGCCAGACCTCATCCAGCCCCAGCTTCCAGCTCTCCTGTGCATTCCTGGGTGAGATCCTAACAGGACCTTCATGCAGTATTATCTGCAAGCTCTGCAGTTCCTCGAGACTTGCAGGAGCCGGCGTATGTGCAGGAAATAAAAGGTTTAAAAAAGGGTGCCAAACACAGCTGTCTCTGAATAACTTGCTTAAACATCTCGTGGACAGAGTCACTGAAGCATGGCAGATACACCATCACTCACGTGAGGATAAAAGTGAATTACTGAGCTCAGCAAATCATTTGCATGAGTCATTTTTTCAGATCCAGCCGTTCTTCCTGCATACAGCACAGCTGAGCCCGGGACATTGCTGCACGAACAGGATGATCTCGGGCCATTTTCTCGAAGAGACAGGGCAGAATACCCAGAACCACAACTACAAAGCCGTGATACTCCTCCAGATCTGGCGTGCTGCAGGTATCAGAGAGCTCCTAACAGCTGAGGTGGCTAAATGTGCCTTCCTAAATTTTGAGCCTCTTTTCAACTTCACCCAGCTTTGTCTACACACAGCATGGAACCTGGCCACCTTCTTCCCTCCATTCTTCCCCTCTGCTCCTCCTACACCAGCAGGTTCAGAGGTCCTTGACCGGGGCTGTTTGCACAGTTCTGTGCACTTGAAATCAAGGAGTTGTAAGAACCCTTCTTGATATAAGGATTTTTCAGTTCTTTTTTGTACCTCTGCCTTTGTGCTCTCGTTTCAAGTCATGCAACAGGATGAAGCTCCCATCAGGGAGGAACTGCAGCTACTGCAGGCTGATCTGCTGCGTACGGCGTGGGGGTCCCAAAGTGGGAGAGGAACAACAGCACTGTGCTACTGAGCTCGTGTTAGAGGAAGAAAAGGGGACAGAGACTAATTAGGAGGCTAAAGGCTTCTTAAGCTCACTTGGTAAATTTGTGCTCGAGACTCCAGTTTTATCCCAAATTAAATTAATGTGAATCTTCTGGGATCTGACCCCAAATGTTAAAAAATCCCACTGCTTCTGAAAGCTTTGGATGAGGCAAAATTACAGACTGGGATGAAAAATGGCTTATAAGCTGCCAAAGAAGGAAGAAAATAAACATGATCAGAAAAATTTAAGGAATTTAAAAATTATTTTCTTGGCCATAAGTCTCCCAAAAGGCATTAAACTAGACTACAGTAGAGTGGGGGATGCAGGGTATATAGAAAACTTTGATGGGTATGTAATCAACTCAGTAAAACAGACACATCTTCGGATCCTACCATCATTTCATTTGTGCTGTTGATGTGGCAGGGGGAGTCTGAAGACCCCTCCACAGCATGAAGCAATCTCATACAGCTTCAAAGTACTCAGGAGTGAGTTTAAAATGTACCTTTCACAGACATTTCCAGGCCTATGAAAAGCAAATGCAACATGTACATGGCCAAGATGTGATCTGAGTAAATGAAGTTTCTCCAAAATTATCTCCCCAAGGAAGCAAATTATTTAAGCAAGTATTTAGTCCTTGTATGATAAGTAATCTACATTGAAAAGGGATGAAACAGTATTTACCTCTCTTGGATCTGAAGCTTCTGAAGCTCATCAGCCACTCCATAAGGCAGCATCTCCTTGGGCAAGTTGCAGCGTTGTGCCCACCTTGCCGCCGTGTTCAAATCACAGTAACTGATGAGCAACTGTATCAGGTGCCCTTGAAGCCATCGATTCTCTCCAACTGTGCTCTGAAAGGGGAATCAAGGGTGAAGGAAGACTGTCAGTGCAAATTCCATCCTGGGTGTTTCTACCCCCTCTCAGGGGACAGCAGCCTCCAGGCGGTCCTGGATAAGTGCAGGAAGGAGCAAGGATCCCCCCACTGCAGGAGTGATTCTGTTCAAACCCAGCGAGTGCTGCACTTCTCCGCCAAGAGATGAAGAGCACATACTTTAACTAAGAGCTTATCAGGGTACTCGGGTCCCCTTGACAGCACGGCCATTTGTTCAGGGAACACCACTTTGCAGGTGCAGCACAGAGAAACAAGGGTAAAACAGTGCCCTTCAGGCTGGCTGATGACCAGCATACTATTTGCTCAGATACCAACTATATTAAGCAAAATCAGAACCAGTGACTGAGCAGACAGTAAAGGTCTTTGGGCTTGTTCGGCAGATAATTATGGAAAGGGTAAGAGTTTGGATTGTTTAAGTTCCATTTTGTGGCTGTACGTAGCCCTGAAGTGATGCCGTGACTTGATGTCCTGGGAGAGGCAATAGGATGGCAACATCTCTCTCCAGGTAGCATGGGATCTCCTCCAGCCTTGGGAGTATTTGCACAAGTAATTAGGATTGCCAGTCACACACGCGTTACAGGTCGGACACATCAGCAAAGCTCTCCTGAGCGGCAGACGGTGGTGTTCCCGGCGAGGCAGAGGCTTGCTCCCCATCCTACAGCCCGTCCGCGCACACCGCTGTGAAAACAGGGGCACCGCGTCCCCCCTCCAGCAACGTGCAGCGGACAGACACCCTGTGCAACCAGCACGGGCCCAGCCAGCCCTGCGGATGGGGTCTGGGGTGTGAGTGGGGTCACCCTGCATCAAGACAGGTTGTACGGAATGTGCTCTGGGAGCCCGACTTATCCGCACGGATCATGCCTGTGGTGTAAAGCGGCTGGAGCATGGCACGCTGCCCACCGTGCCACCAGGCTGCAGCAGTGGGCAAGGGGCAGGATGGACAAAGAGGGCCCGTAACAGACAGCTGGGTCCACCAAAGCTCTGTCATCTTGTTCACCCTCTCGGCAGATGCAGTTGTAAGAGGAAACACCAACGCAGCGACACAGGGGTGGCAACAACTCTCTCCTCCTCCCTAGTCAACCCACCTGTGCTTCCCAGCATCCCAGAGCCACTGCAGCCAGGGCAGCAGCTCACTCCTCTTGCCAGACTGATTTACTCCCGGATCTGCCACAGAAGTTAATGTTGTCAAGAGCACTTAATTGCTGAAACGAGCTGAAACTCTACACGGTGGGTCAGGATCTGCAGCTGTATGTCTATACTGCTGCTGGCACCACCAACACGTACTTTGCAGCGCAGCGAAATGCTCAGGCACGCACTTAAAGTAAACCTCCGCACACGCCACTGCCCTCTCTCCTTCGCTGCCTGCCAAGCAGCGCTTGCAGGGGCAGAGTCTGCTCCCAGGGACTGCAGGGACCTGCTCCTTCTCCTCTGCACAAGCCCAGCTGGCTGGGTGGTGGGCTGGGGCCCTGGGGCCCCATTCCTCACATTCTTTCAGTAACTAGAAGGTGAGAAGTCTTCCAAGCAGACACCCTGCATGGAGATCAGGAAACAAACCTGTTGATGGCCCCAAGGTAAAAGGGAAGGAAAAAAAAAAAAAAAAAGAATGACCCACCCAAGAGAGGTGCAGGAGGGGGTAGAGGCTTGGAAAAAAAGCCACAGAGAAACTCGGCATCCCAGACAGTGCACACAAGAAGCCAGCCTGCTCATAAAAACTGCTGCCTCAGCACTAATTCTGCACCCCTGCGACTTTGCCAATCACCAAACCACATTTCTGCTCAGAGATATGTGGAAGATTTTTACTGCTGCTCTGACAGAGGCTGGTGGCACAGCAAGGAGCCAGCGCCAGCAGGACGGCGGTCCGGCAGCTAACCAGGGGCTCAGTTATGGGCGAGAAGCAGGAGAGGGAACTGAGGGAAGGGGCAGAGCAGGAACGGATAAGCCATCATGTTAGTGCTTCTTGCCTTCTACGTGTCCTGCCGAATCCTCCTCCCAGCCATGCCAGTCCTGATGCTTTGTCCATCTCTCCCATCTCTGCCTCATGCAACTGAGCTCAGCCAAGCACCCAACACACGAAGGAGGTTTGAGGAACTCCTCCTGCTGCATTTGCCAAGCCACCTCTCAGAGTCCTTCCCAAAAAGAACATATTTTCTTATTAACATCACAGAGCAATTCCCTCTTCTAGCTTCCCCTGTATCCATCCTATTGTCTTCCTGCCTTTTTTCTAGAACGCAAAGTCTTTGGCGTTGGATCTCTCGTCAGTTCACCCAGAGTCAATTCTTAACAAATCTCATTATGTCAGCTTTATTTATGGAAATAATGAGGTGCAGATTTTTTTTTTTTATTTTAATGATAACAGATTTATTCTTTCAACCACAAAAACAACTCTGGAAAGAAGGTTAATCTCTCCAGAGATATTACATCTTACATTCTGAAACAGAAAATAGCTTTGTTTGTTTTCTACTGAAAAAAACCCAACACTGCTATAAAGGGGAATGGCTCCCACCGCAACAGCTTTGCAAGAAGCAAGAATGTGGAAACTTTGGCCCAAGAAGACGTGGGCACAGATGCAGAGACAAATGTTTCACTAGGGATGACATTTCATGTATTTTGCTTTCAGTAAACAAACACTTTTCAAGAGGAAACTGGCACAATTGCTCTGATCAGCATCAGCGACACCTCTGAGCAGGAAAAGGCTAAACATACCATGCGGCTTGTTTACAGCCCTCTCTGAATTCAAGGCATATCACACGTTCTTTAATCCCAAGGCACACACAAGAAGTCCTGACACCACCACCAACCCATGATTAAAGCTTTCCAAAATGACTGCTGCAGATTACCTACCCGAAAATCCTGTTCTCACCCAGCCGAGCGCTTTACAAAGCCCACAACAACCAGTGCGGAGTCAGCTTGGGAATGTCCTGATCGTAACCCATAGCATCGGCAACTCCTCCATTATTATTAAACCTTTTGGATCCAAATATCCAGTATCTTCTTTGGAAGCCACCCTAGTCAACCTTAGATCACTTTTATTTGTATGTGTTACGTTGCATTTGTGCCACATACAATTCTCCACCTTCCCTCAGTATCTTTTACTGGAGACTGAAGTTACTCACACCAGTGACACTGGCTATTTGCAGAGTCAGATTTTAATTTAACTTTTGAATGTCTTGGCCAACTTCCCCTGTTCTCAAGTGCTTCCAGAATCAACAAAAGAAATCCTGTTAGTATAGAGAAAATGTCAACTAGAATATTTTAGAGCCAGCAGCTTTAAAAGGGCAAAAAAGAAACGTGGACTTTGAAGGGACAAAAACCACTGCAAAGGAGTGGAGGACACCGACGGCATTTCTAAATCCACGGCGGTGCTGCAGGTCCTGTGCAGTCGCCTTTGTTTAAAGATTCCCTGGAACATCCTACTGTGTTAGTTTCATTGTTACTTTATTTTATTCACGCTCCAGATTTCTGCTGGGAAGTCAGTACCACCGGTACTCTGCGGAGACATGCTGCAGTAGTATGTCACCACTGGCGTGTCACCATTGAAGGGACGTCCTTCCTGCACCAGATCGGAGCTGGGGCTCTCACCGGGGTCACAGCCTGGTCCGTGACAGAAGGGGGATCCTGACCTCTGGATATCCCACACATGGCGCTCGGGTAAAAGATGCCAACTTCACCCACACCCACCTCTGAACAGGGCTCCTCGTGGGAGCAGCCGGCCGCTCGCCCATGGCCAGCGCACGAAGACAAGCATGAGAAAGCTGCTTGAGCTGTTCTCTGCTCACAGGCTCTGGCACTGGGACGCACTAATTTGGGAACTGAAGCAGCACAAAATATCCATTCATATCCCAGGAGACTGACTTTCAGATAGCAATCAGTGCGTCATTGAGGGAGCCACACTTCAGTGTTCTGGAGGCCATTACCACATCAATGGTGGGGAAGTGGTCTTTCTTCTCTCTTTCAACAAAGCTCTGGCAATGTGGCTCCCTGGGGCATGTTCACACCACCTAGCTTCAGCTTTAGGAATCAGGAGACAGCTTCCCAGTCTCCCCATGCAATCAGCCCTCCCAAAAGGCAATTCAGAGGAGTCTAACTTACTGGTATCACTGGAATGGATCAAGGCAAAGGCAACTCTTAAAGACAACGTGCCGCCGTACTGGGGCTCCTCACAAGGAGCTTATTGTTCCTGGGCAACCTGAAGGAAGCTGCTAGCTCGTGATGAGTAGTAAGGACAATATTGTGATGAGATGCATCTGGCTCCATTTTTCTCTCTGCAGCTCACACAATCTTGCCAACACATTTCTCATTCAGATGTCCAGACACCACCACCAAATGGCAGTCGGAAGAAAAAAACCATATAGCTCATCCGTTAGAATTCACCCGGGCGAGTGCACAGCCAGCTGCAGCTCACCATCAAGGTGGGGATGTGGTTACTCCCCTCTGTTCTGTATTTTTGACACCACACCTGGACGTGGTGCCTCGTGGCAGCCCAGTGTGAAAAGAGATGTTGAAAAGTAGGAGGGAGTTCAGTAATGAGGCACTGAGATGGTCAGTGGGTTGGAGCACTTGGAGTAGAAGGAGAGGCTGAGGGAGCAGGGCTTGTTCAGCCTAGGGAAAGCTAAGTTGGGGGATATAGGGGAATACAATTGCTCTCTTCAATTTTAGCATGGGGGATCATAGAGGAGATGGAGTCAGATCCTTCCAGAAACTCCAGCCAGGCTTAAAAGAAAAAAACGGGTGACAGTGAGAGTCACTGCAAAGGGTCCGGAGGGGCTGCGGAATCAGGCAGGGCCCTGCAACACCCTAACCAAGCTGGCCCTGGTTTGAGCAGGAGGGCAGAGACGAAACCTCCTTCAATCTGAAATCAGCCCCCGACTCCGTGACTGGCACTGCCGCGCGTTCCCCAGCACCGAGACTCCGCACAGACGGGCGGCTTCTTGCAGCGACTGCTGCTTTCAGGCTCGAAGC